GCTGATTACAGAAGAACAAGCAAAATAAATGTTATAGAAAGCGACGAAGAAAATCAGGAACAGAATGCAGAACTAGAAGAAAACAATACAGGTGAAAATTCAGAAACCGAAACTGAAAATGAACAAGACATTAGACAAAAACCAAATCAAATAGAAGTACAAAATATAATTTTGGGAGAAGGAGAAGGCATCACAGAATCAAGAAGAGGAGAAGGCATCACAGAATCAAGAAGAGGAGAAGGCATCACAGAACCAAGAAGAGGAGAAGGCATCGCAGAAACAAGAAGTGGAAGAAAATTAAAACAATCTATAAAACTTAAAGATTATATTGTAAACTTTGTTGAAGAAGAAGCGTTATTGACTTATGAAGAAGCAGTCAAGGGACCAGAAAAGGACAAATGGCTTGAGGCTATACCTGAAGAAAAAGAATCTCTGAATAAAAATCTTACATGGAGTTACGTGAATATAAATGAAGTAGACAAACATCGCATTCTGACAAGCAAGTGGGTATTCAAAGTTAAAGATAATGGAAAATATAGAGCAAGGTTGGTAGTAAGAGGGTGCCAACAACATAAGGGAATAGATTACAACGAAACATTCAGTCCAGTTGTGAACATAAGCTCAGTAAGAATAATGTTAGCACTGGCTGCCAAGTATAATATGTCAGTTACCAAATTTGACGTAAAAACAGCATTTTTGTATGGAAGTATTTCAGAAGAAATTTTTATGCTTGTACCAGAGGGGTTCAAATGTGAACAAACTGAAAACAAAGTGTGTAAATTGTCGAAATCGCTATATGGCCTAAAACAAGCTCCTATGAAATGGAATGAACATTTTACTACATCTTTAAAACTGAATGGTTTAAAACCACTGGTTAGTGATCAATGTTTATTTACGAATATAGAAAAGACCATGTTATTAGCAATCTTTGTAGATGACGGATTATTGATCAGCAAATGTGAAGAAGAAATAAAATCGTTATTGAAAAATCTTCAAACCGAATTTGAAATGACAAGTGAAAAAAATCCTAATAGGTTTTTAGGAATTAGTATTCAAAAACATGCTGGAAAAGTTATACTTTCACAACAAGATTATGTACAAGCAACTTTAGAAAAATTCAATATGCAAAACTCCAAACCTGTACCTACGCCCATGGTCAAACAAGATATAAGTTCAGAAAATAAAATGGTAAAAATTAATTATCCATTCAGAGAAGCTGTTGGAAGTTTATTATATTTAAACAACAAGACCAGACCAGACATATCATATGCAGTGAATTACTGTAGTAGAAAAATGGAAAATTTTTCAAATCAAGACATTGTAACAGTAAAAAGAGTGTTTCGCTATTTGATATCTACAAAAAATGATGGACTGTGCTACGATGGCCAAAACAGTGAGAGATTGATTGCCTATTGTGATTCAGATTTTGCAGGGAACACTGAAACACGCAGAAGTACAACAGGGTACATAATATTTTTTTGTGGTGGACCCATATCGTGGTGTTCCAGGAAACAGCCAATAGCTTCACTTTCAAGCACAGAAGCTGAGTATATATCTGCCGCAGAATGTGTTAAAGAACTTCTTTATCTCAAATCTCTAATTGATGAACTTACCAATGGTGAAGTGAAGATAGATTTGTACGTTGATAATCAGAGTGCAATCTCAATAGTGAAAACCGGACAGTTCAATCGACGGAGCAAGCACGTAGATGTAAGATTTCATTTTATAAATGAAAAGGTGCGAGAAGGTATTATAAACATAAAGTATTGTTCAATTGAAAAACAAATCGCCGACATATTTACCAAACCTCTTGGAAACATTAAATTTGAAAACCTGAAAGAACAATTTATGTCAAGCATCAATTGACAAGTAACAAGTGACATAACCTTAAAATTTGGAGAAGGTGTTAATGAGTTGATGTTGATGAAAATGAAATTTTAATTAGAGTGTTAATTTTATATTCAATTATCTTTAAAAAAAGGAACAGTTGCTATGTAACAAAAATTAATGATATATATAAAAATAAAATGATTAACAAAGTCAATTTCCAATTTTCTCAAGCAAAGAAGTAAAAGTAAAACCCGAAATTACAACACACAGGACTGACATTTTAGTTTGGCAGCTGTTCTACATTTGAGGGCTATATGTCTACATTTAATGCAGGCATGACAATGACCTTTTTCCGACATGATTTTCTTTAGTTCAGTAAAAGATTTCTTCTTTTGAGAATCTTTGTCTCCAAAACCAGAAACGGTCAGAGCTACTCGTTCTTCGCTTTCAACTTCTTTGCGCAAAAACTCATGAGTCGATCTAGATGCACCTTTGAACTATCATCATCGTTAAAACATGTTGACTTTCCCAAATTCATAGCAAACCTTCTGGAAGGCATGATTCGACTAAGGGAAACAGCATAGCTGAACAAGTGTCGGACTGCACACCTAGAGTCTCTAAAGATCTGAGTTGTGCTTCAATTTCGTCGTACAAAGAACTTAGCTTCGTCGATTTATTCGCGTTGTTCAACACTAGTTATAAAAGTTCAAGTACGTAGACTTCTATCTGTAGATCTTGCCTTCCAAAACGTCTTGTTAAACTTTGAAATATTTATGTCCCACTGGTGGATAACTTTCACCAAACTGGCGTGCTCGTGATTTAGGAGTCGTTGCTTGTATCAAAAGTTTAACGTCTCTTCATTAGGAAGCGCCTGATCTTGGTGAATTCTTCTAAACTGACCCCAAAATGACAACCAGTCACGAATGTCGCCACCAATTTTTCTAAATTCTATCTGTGGGTACTGATTTTGCAACTGCAAACTTAGTTTTAAACAGTCCACAATGACTTAAGTTCTAACAGACAGATGGCAACAAGTTAAACTTGGCAACTATCTTTCCGATCCGTTTAAAGTTACATCCGGCGTATCACGGTGTTCCCATTATGGCCCAATTTTGTTCCTTTTGCTTATAAATAACTTAAGTCATTGCTTTAAATGTTCTAGGTTTCTTTTTTATGCCGATGGTCTTTTGAAAGCGATTATATCTGTAAAAAATTGCCAAGAATTACAAGTGGATTTAAATAATGTTTTTCATTGGTGTGAATTAAATTTTTTTTAGTCTGAATTTAGATAAGTGTTTTAACATGACTTTTTGCGATACAAATTCTTCAATCAAATTTAATTACAATATTGGTAGTTCTACCTTCGCGTCGGTTAACGAAATAAAAAATCCTAAAATTTGGTATATTATCAAAATGCTCGTAGCCTTAAAAAAAAGGGAAGATTTTTTGGTTTCATCATATGATTTTGATTTCGATATAATTTCTTTAACAGAAACTTGTTGAATTGATTCTATAAAGAATTCTGAATTCAGTTACTTACAGTACAATCCCTTTTTGTTTTTGTAACATGTTTTCCTTCTTCTCCATCCTTAGACGATTTAAATCCTGTTCGTGATTTCTTTGAAGAAAAGTCTTTTGATCTTAAAAATATAATTCTAATAGGTGCTTTTAATTTTCCAAATTTTAAGCAAAATAATTCTTCGTCTACAGTTCTAGATTTAGCATTTTCCAATGATCAATGGAAAATCAGTCGCTGTGATACTCCTTTGGTAACGGAGAACAAATATCACCCAACACTAGCTTCAGTATGTACCTTCTCTATTGATAAACCAGTAAGTTTTCCACGGTACAATGATAACACAAGAACGTTTAACTTTCGTAGAGCCAACTTCATCTCTCTTTATAACGACATATTATCTACTGACTGGTCATTATTATTAACTTTCTCCTCTGTATATCTTATATTTGAATATTTTTACAATATTTTCCCAAGCTCATGATTAAGGTGTGCAAGTTCCAAATTGTTAAGCCACTCCTATTAATATTTAATAAATCTCTTAAAACAGTGGAAAGAATCTAAAATATGTCCTGTCTTGAAGTTTGGTAATGAAAATTACAGACCAATTTCGATGGTTTCAAATTTTGCTAAAATTTTCGAACTAGTTAGCGAGTACTATCCCCACCCATCTGCCCCCTATTTTCTTACAGGATATGTCATTCAACAAAATCAGCCTTATCTTAACAAATAATATCCCCACCCACCCGCCCTCTATTTTCTTATAGGATATATGATTCGCCAAAATTAGTATTTTCGTAACAAGTAATATTCCCGCCCACCCGCCCTTTATTATTTTAGAAGGCATTTGATATGCCAAAATCAGTCTTATTTTAGGAAGTACAAACCCCACCCACCCTCCCTTTATTTTCTTAGAGGGTATTTCATTTGCCAAAGTCAGTCTTATCTTAGCAAGTACTATCCCCGCCCACCCGCCCTCTATTTTCTTAAAGGATGTGTCATTCTGCAAAATCAGTCTTATCTTAGCAAGTACTAATTCTATATCTATCCCGCACTGAAAAATTATATATCAGAACATAAATATGGTTTTTTTAAATTATAGATAGAGGTTCAGTCTCAAGTCGATGTCAGCTGGACAGACTTTACAAAGATATTTGATCAATTTGAACAGCTTGTAAACTTTGCTTTCAGTCCTAAATTATTAAACCTTCCTGATTCTGTTTTACACTCTGAGCACAATTTTTGCAGTGTAATTTCGTATTTCCCTTTTTGATTGCAAGTTTTCCAGGGATCAATATTAAGGCTACTGCTTTTCATTTATATATAAATGATTTACCCTAAATGATATTTTACAATATTAACTCAGTCGTTGATGCTATTTTCCTGTAGTAGCATTTTTTGTCACAGTCTGTATCTGTAATTTCCAAGTACTATAATTTTCCCGAGATAATACTGGAATACGCCCACTGTTTCCACGGTTCGAGCGCATTTTCGCAATCTAGATACAACCCTTAAAAACAAGGTCACTGTTTTCTTACTGGCTGGTCTCAAGGTTCAATACTACAATACCTGGACCCATAACCTGTTGTTATAATTTTAAAAACTCAGATTTCACATATTCTAAACACTCCCCTAAACCCCTTTTCGCTTTCAGTGAACATCCCCTCGTCGTCTTCCACGTCGAAAACCCCGCTCGTCGAGCACGAATCCTCAACCGCCGACTCCGAGCCGCCCGAGAACACCACCGACTCCTCCACGTTCACTCCGGATGCAAACTCCACGGACGAAGCTCCAGCTACCACGCAGCAGCACCGATTTTGCCTGGTCATGGGTACGCTTTCCTCCTCTAGCTGCTCCATCCTCTAATCTTGTTTGTGTTCCAGGGCGAAAATACGAGATCGGCGACAAGCTCCCCCATGATACCGGCAACTGCGTCGAGTGCGTCTGCGCACAAGGCGCCAAGATCACGTGTTCCCCCCACCAGTGCGCCCCAGCCGGCGAGGATATAAACGACTACCGCCCGCCGGGGCCGCGCCAGCCGGATGTCTTCTAATGGTCGACAGACAGGATTCGTTTTTCATGTGATAACTCTCGGAGGGTAGTTGTGTCTGTTTCGTTGCCATTAAATGCCTTTTCTTCTCTCTTCCACGTGAATCCCATAGCTGAACCCGACCCTGGACCCTAGTCATATCAGTGAAATAGGTGGATTTTTTAGGTTTGCACACACGTGGGGTAGGTGTCACAAGTCTATAAGGTCTAAACACTGAATTCTAACCTAAATGTTTAGGTTAGAGATGATCTGTTGGCAGCACGTGTGTGTAAACCCGGAAAATTTGTAAAGTATATATCAATTTGTGTCTTATTTTGTAGTGTAGGTCTTGCAACAGTTCGTTGTGGGACCTGTAGGTGTACGTTGAGCCTAAAGGTAAACCATTTAGGAAATGTCAGTGGGAACCATTAATTAAGTGAAACCGTACGAGAGCTAGTGATTTTATATTAGGATTTTTTATATTAGTCATGACCACTGGAACCAATAACTTGTTAGTGTAGATGATTTGATAACGTTAGAACTGAGATCGGTTCTATCTTTATGAACCCCTTTTTGGTTGGTAAGCGATTTTTAAATGTGTGTCAGACGTTTTTTCTATAAATAAGCTTGGTTGATTTGATGTCGTTAGCCTAATATGAAAATATCCAAATCAAAATAATGAAAATCACAATTTGTAATATTATAAAGTGTACCTTGTAATATCTTAAGACTAGTGGAGATTTTTAACAACAGTTATTGGTCGAGAGGTGGAGGCTGTATTGGATAATTTCGTGTTACGCTAGTGAAAGTAATAACTGTTGTGAAAAATGTATCAGTATTAATACTATAAGGATTCATACTTGTTATTGTTAAGTATGTAATAAAATTTTATTAAGTTTCTTTACTGTATAGAAAATAAAAGATGAATCAACAAAGTTGGTAATTATTTCCTCTACAACTGAAATTTTATGATCTTCAACAATTTCCCGCAATCGATTATTCCACCCAGGTCATTATCATAATGATTTGCAAATAAATATTACCTACCATTTCATAGTCAACGCAGTCAAAACCTTCAACTTCAACGTCAATCATAAAAAATAGCTGTAATCCTAAGTAAATACCTAAGCCGTTCCCACAATTAATAATCAAACAAATTACCATCACGTCTTCGATGCATAAATACCACATGGCAGTCTCCCGTCGACAGTCCTTCAAACATGTTCTTGCTGCTTTCAGCCATCGTTGCATTATCAAACGCCTCCTTGAAACCTCCAGTCAAATCCCTTATACCATCCAGAATCCTCAACCAATTCCTAGACTATGACTTAGTCATCCACTTTGACAATTCCAACCTCCACCGCCTTGACTTCTTGTCAGAGAAAAACCCCAACCACCAAACCGTCCATCTGTTTAACTACAACTACATCCAAACTGTGCTACGAAGACCCAGAGGGTACAAATACGTCAACGTAGTCATCCTCCAAGACCCATTCGAATTCCAAACGTTCTCCCTCCAACCCTACAGCTTCTACCAGTACGATTTTGTTTTATTCGTGACCACAACCATTCAGGAGACAGAAGTGTGGAAAATGGCAGGGCTCAAACGTGCCTCAGCCGTGTTTGTTTACAACATCGAAGAAGATAAAATGTTTCATTGTTGCTACTACTGTGGTAAGGATACAGCTGTGCTCAAAGAAACCACGAGCTATAGTTTGAGGCAACTTTTGAACAACTACTCCGACTTCAATGGTCACATCTTTAGAATCGCGTATACTGATTTCCCGCCGTTTTTCTGGAAGAATGACGATGGCGGAAGACCTAGGGGAGCGGAAGGGAAGCTTTTGCATGAATTCAGTCGGGTTCACAACTTCAGGTGGGTTTCGTATTATGATAGTCAAAATTCTGACTGGTTTGTAGGTACGAATTGATAGAATATAAAAGTGTGCCAGGGAAAGGTGCCTGGCAAGCGATGGTAGAAGCAGTAGAAGCTAACGCTATAGACTGGGCAGTGGGTGGTATTTCTGTAACCATCAAGCGAGGCATTTTCACTGATTTCACACGATACATCAAAACCCAAGGCTTCGCTATAGCGTATGTCGTCTACCAATCCACTTGGGCCGCCTTTGAAAGCATCCTCTTGGTGTTCAAGTGGCTGGTTTGGGTCACCATTGCCTGCACGGTCACTCTTATATGTTTGACCGCAAAACTAGCAAACAACACATTGGGTTTAAGCCACAACTACTCGACATATGTAAGAGTAGTTTTAATGTCCATTGCGGAACAAGCAGCTACTTCTCACCAAATGAAACTACTGAAACTTTCAACTGTTAGAACGATTTTTCTAATTTGGTGGCTCACGTCTTTGAATTTAACATCACTGTATAAAAGTCAGCTGGCGTCGCGTTTGATTAAACCAAAGTACAACCAACCGAACCAAATCGACGATTTGGTGGAGAAGAATTTTCAGTTTCAAGTGAATAAAGAGGACTGGAGTGTGTTGAGGGAAAATTTGGAAACTTCGCTGGATAAAGTGTACTCTAAAATTTTGACGAAAGTGGATGACAGGTTGGATTTTTGCGAGTCGATTCTTGCTTTGAAGGGTCAGAAGGTGGCGGTGATCGATGAAGAAACAGTTTTGCAGTATGACGTGTGTAATTGGGGTTATTAAAAACGACTGCAATCACGTTTATCGTGGTTTTAGGTCTTTAAGAGATGTAACACCGTGGGATCACGATATCGGTCTCATTTGCGCCTAGTTGCCGAAAATATTTTCCCCAGTGCTTACCACGCGTGGTCAATGCCCATGGGAACTCCCTTCAGGCTAAAATTCTCGAAAACTATTGGAAGAATGGATGATTATGGTTTGATCTCCCATTGGTATAAACTAGGTGCTCGAAATTTTCGACCACAATGTTATAATTATGCTTATAGGTACAAATCTGCCTCGTTTTACCTCCTACCTCGGAGTAATTCCAGAACTGGAGGTAACACGGCTTCTGCTTTAACTCTCACGCAGTTCCTTCCACCTGTGATGATTCTGGGGATTGGATGGAGTGCAGCCTTTATCGTCCTACTTATTGAGCTTTACATTGGATAATTGTCAAAATGGGGATTTTTGTAACACGATTTTAGGCACATATTATTGGAATTCTTGTAAAACAAGAAGTCATTTGTTACCAATTGCTGATTAGTTCACCAGCACCAATGAAAGTTAACACTAATATTTGCGACCAGGGGTGGATTCATTTGGATGGTTTTTTAATTTCCCAAAATTTAAGAATATGAAAAGAAGAGTTCAACTTTGTTTAGAACATGATGGAGAACATTTTGAACAATTTTTGAACCTTATTTACAGCTTTTAGGCAACCAGTAATACTCGGCAGCAAAATCAAAATATTTAAAATAACCTTCAAGGTAGAATTCTACCTATATGAAAATAACAATATGGTATAAAAGGACACGCCAAAATCTAACATGTGAACAAATATTAAAACAATAGAAAAATTCAAAATTTGGTTTTAAACTGTGATCGTCAATAAAAGTGGAATCCTAAGTTGTGTGTGTGTTTTTTATGGTGGAATGCGTTCAAATGCAAAGTGGTAAACCCCAAGGTTCGAAAAGCGCCCCTAAATCAGACACAAAATATGCAGGACAAAAATGGTCAGGCATAACACACACTCCATAATTCTATGCCTATTTACCCGGTCTGTAAAAATTAGCCAGCTATTAAACGAAGCTCTGTGGTTCACGCTGACACGGATCTCCACATGCGCCCTTTTGTTGCAATTAAGTTCAAATTCTATCTCTCAAGAAATTTATAACAATGACTAAAAGAGTTTTAAAATTACTTAAGTTAATTACGCCACACTCACGAATTTCAAGCAGCAAAGAATTTACATGATGTTAAATTACGTCCCACTGTACCAACAATTTTAAACATTTTTAACTAATACTTAAGAAAAACATCCAGAAACTTTAGTTTTAACTTAATGAACCAAAGAATGAAGCCTAAATAAGTGAATTACCTAACACGTGGTTTTAAATTTTTGTAGAAAACAATGGATTTTGCAATTAGGCTCCGCCCCTTTGGCTCACGGCGAATAAAAAAATCATCACAACTGAGACTAGGCGGGAGGGCGGGCTTACACTTTGCCTTTTTGTTAATATGTGTAGACTTCTTTTCACAACATGAAACTTAAAACATGTTTAAAATGGAAAATTCGTATAAGCAAATATCGATTTTACAATTAAGCTCCACCCCGAATACAAAACTCATCAGAATTGAGACAGGGCGGGTGGGCGGGGCTTATATTTTGTCTTTTCTTTCTTACTATAAACAGCCACCTTTTCACAACACTTTGAAATATTAGAATCTTCAGAATCTTTAGAACCTCTAGAATCCCAGAATATCCTAAATCTTTGACAATTTTCTAATCTGTAGAGTCTCCGAGTATCTGGAACTCCTGACATATCTGGAATCTCTAGTCTCGGCATATCCAGAATTTTTGAAATTTTTGAAATTTCTGGAATAATGGAATTTTTATAAATTTTATATTCTTCAGAATCTCCAAAATTGGTAAAATCTTTGAAATCTTCAGAATTTTCAGGATTTTTGGAATCTTCACAATTTTCAGAGTTTTCGGAATCTTCAGGATCTTCAGAATTTTCAAAATCTTCTGCATCTTGAGAAACAAAAGAAAATTCAGAATCTTCAAAATCACCAAAATCTTCGGAATCTTTCGAACCTTTAGAATCTTTCGACTTTTTAAGATTTCTAGAACCTCTGATATCTTTGGAATTTTTGAGATCGTTGGAACCTTTCTACAACATATTCTTCAAATTCTTCGGAACCTAAAAACTCTTACATTTTTTGGAATTTTCAGCTTTCGAATTATTCAGAATCTTCAGAAAGATTAGAATCTTTAAAATTTTTAGAGTCTTTTGGATCGCTAGGATATTTATTTTTATTTTTATTTTAATAATTACTTCCCAACAAAATCTTTAAGATTTTTGGGATCATTAGAATCTTCCGAATTGTTAGAATCCTTGGAATCTTCAGAATTTCCAGAATCTTTGGAATTTTCGGAATATCCTGAATTTCTGGAACCTTTAGAACCTTTATAATTTTTTGTATATTAGGAATCTTCACAGTGTTCAGATTTTTTGTAATTTTCAGCTTTTGAAAGTCTTAAAATCTTCACAATCTTCAGAAATTTTAGAATATTCAGAATCTTTAGAATCTCTAGAATCACGGAATATCCGAAATCTTTGAAATTCTTGGAATCTCTAGTGTCTTGGAACATCAGGAATTTTTTAAATTTATGAAATAGCTAGAAACTTTCAAATTTTTATAATCTTCAGAATCTTTCTAATCTTCAAAGTCTTCAGATATTTTGGAATGTACGGCCTTCGAAATACGAATACTTTATAATCTTCGAAATCTTTAGAATCTTCAGAATTGTTAGAATTTTTGGAATATTCAGAATTTTCAGAATCTTTGGAATATTCTGATTCCACAGAAATTTCAGAATCTCCAGAGTCTCTTTTTCGAATTTCTGCAATCTCCAGAGTCTTCAAATATTTGGAATTTTAGGAATATCTGGAACCCCTGGAGTCTGGGAAATCTGGAATTTTGAAATTTCTGGAACTTTTGGAACGTTAAAATTTTTATAATTTTTTGATTTTTCCAAATATTCAAAATTGTTAGGACTGGGAATCTTCAGAATCTTCACAATCTTTGGAATTTTCAGAATCTTCGGAATCTTCAGAGTATTCGTAACCTTTAGAGCCTTCAGAAGCTTTCGACTTTTTAAAATTTCTAGAATTTTAGGAACCTTTGGAATCTTTGACATTTTTGGAATCTTTATACATATTCTTCAGAATCTTCAAAACCTCAATGGAAATGTTTCGAATCTTTAGAATATCTAGAATCTGGAACTTTAGGAATATCTGGAATCTCTAGAGTCTCGGAAATCCGGAATTTTTGAAATTTCTGGAACCTTTTGAACAACACGAAACTCAAAAACATGTCTTATATGGTGATTAAATTCCGCTCCTTTGGCTCTCGACGAATAAAAAAAAATCATCACAAGTGAGATAGGGCGGGTGGGCGGGGCTTACATTTTGCTTTTTTTTAATATACGTAGTCGTTTTTTCAGAACAAGAAAAATAAAACATGGTTAAAATGGTACATTTTTGCAAGAAAATATGGATTTTGCAATTATGGGGCGGAGCTTAATTGCAAAATCGATATTTGCTTAAAACAAATTTTCCATTTTAAACATGTTTTAAGTTTCATGTTGTAAAAAAAGTCTACACATATTAAAACAAGAAGGCAGAATGTAAGCTGGCCCACCCGACCTGTCTCAATTGTGATGACCTTTTTTATTCGCAGTGAACCAAGGGGGCAGATCTTAACTGCAAAATACTTATTTCTTTACTAGAAATTAAAAACATATTTTTGAGTATCGTGTTCTTCAAAGAATACAGTGTATATAAAAAAAAAGCAAAATATAAACCACGCCCAACCACCCTATCTCAATTGTGGTGATTTTTTTTATTCTTAGAAACTTAAAACATGTTTAAAATGGTAAATTTTTGTAAGGAAATACGAATTTTGCAATTAGGCTCCGCCGCCCCTAGGTCTGCCAACAAATGAAAATTTCGTTACTATTTAAATCAGGGCAGGTATGGGTGGGGCTTAATCTTTGGAACCTTTAGAATCTTCATAATTTTTAGCATATTCGGAAACTGTTAATTTTTTTTGTAATTTTCAGTCTTTGAAATCTTAGAATCGTAAGAATCTTTACAATCTTCGAAAATTGTCAATATAGTTTTAATCTTCAGAATCTTTTTGAAGACTTCGAAATATCCAGAATCTTCAGAAACATTAGAATCTTCCGAATCTTTAGAATCTCTAAAGTCTCCGAATATCTGGAACTCTTGGCATATCTGGAATCTCTAGAGTCTCGGAATATCCAGAATTTTTGAAATTTTTGAAATTTCTGGAATAATGGAATTTTTATAAATTTTAGATTCTTCAGAATCTCCAAAATTGGTAAAATCTTTGAAGTCTTCAGAATTTTCAGAATCTACTGCATCTTGCGAAACAAAAGAAAATTCAGAATCTTTCGACTCTTTAAGATTTCTAGAACCTCTGGAATCTTTGAAATTTTTGATATCTTTGGAATCTTTCTACAACATATTCTTCAAATTCTTCGGAACCTCAAAATGCTTACATTTTTTGGAATTTTCAGTTTTCGAATTATTCAGAATCTTCGAAAGATTAGAATCTTTAAAATATTTAGAGTCTTTAGGATCGCTAGGATAATTAAAATCTTTAGGATTTTTGGGATCTTCAGAGTCTTCAGAATTGTTAGAATGCTTGGAATTTTCAGAATTTCCAAAACCTATGGAATTTTCGGAATATCCTGAATTTCTGGAACCTTTAGAATCTTTATAATTTTTGGTATATTAGGAATCTTCACAGTGTTCAGATTTTTTGTAATTTTCAGCTTTTGAAAGTCTTAAAATCTTCAGAATCTTCAGAAATTTTAGAATATTCAGAATCTTTAGAATCTCTAGAATCACGGAATACCGGAAATCTTTGAAGTTCTTGGAATCTCTAGTGTCTTGGAATATCAGGAATTTTTTAAATTTATGGAATAGCTAGAACCTTTCAAATTTTTATAATCTTCAGGATCTTTCTAATCTTCAAAGTCTTCAGACATTTTGGAATGTCCAGCTTTCGAAATACGAATACTTTCTAATCTTCGAAATCTTTAGAATCTTCAGAATTGTTAGAATTTTTGGAATATTCAGAATTTTCAGAATCTTTGGAATCTTCAGATTCTACAGAAATTTCAGAATCTCCAAAGTCTCTTTTTCCAATTTCTACAATCTCCAGAGTCTCCAAATATCTGGAACTTTAGGAATTTCTGGAATCTCTGGAGTCTGGAAAATCTGGAATTTTGAAATTTCTGGAACTTTTGGAACGTTAAAATTTTTATAATCGTTTGATTTTTCCGAAGCTTCAAAATTGTTAGGACTTTGGGAATCTTCAGAAGCCTCAGAATATTCGGAATCTTCACAATCTTTGGAATTTTCAGAATCTTCGAAATTTTCAGAGTATTCGCAACCTTTAGAGCCTACAGAAGCTTTCGACTTTTTAAAATTTCTAGAATTTTGGGAACCTTTGGAATCTTTCACATTTTTGGAATCTTTATACATATTCTTCAGAATCTTCAAAACCTCAATGGAAATGTTGAGATTTTCAGAGGCGTTAGAATCTCCAAAGTCTTTAGAATCTTTCAAATCTTTAGAATCTCTAGAGTCTCGGAAATCCGGAATTTTTGAAATTTCTGGAACATTTTGAACAACACGAAACTCAAAAACATGTCTTATATGATGATGACAAAAAAATCATCACAATTGAGATAGGGCGGGTGGGCGGGGCTTACATTTTGCTTTTTTTGTTCATATACGCAGTCGTCTTTTAAGAACAAGAAACATAAAACATGGTTAAAATGGTACATTTTTGCAAGAAAATATGGATTTTGCAATTATGGGGTGGAGCTTAATTGCAAAATCGATATTTGCTTATACAAATTTTCCATTTTAAACATGTTTTAAGTTTCATATTGCAAAAAAAAGTCTACACATATTAAAACAAGAAGGCAAAATGTAAGCCCGCCCACCCACCCTATCACAATTGTGGTGATTTTTTTTATTCTTAGAAACTTAAAACACGTTTAAAATGGTAAATTTTTGTAAGGAAATACGAAATTTGCAATTAGGCTCCGCGACTCCTAGCTAAATTAAAAAAAAAGATCACAATTGAAATAGGGCGGGTGGGCGGGGCTGATATTTTGTCTTTTTTCTTAATACACGTGGTCGTCTTTTCTGAACAAGAAACTTAAAACATGTTTAAAGTGGTAAATTCTTCTAGACAAATATGGGTGTTGGGATTAAGCCCCCCCCCCCTCGATCTGACAACGAATGAAAAATTCATCACAATTGAGAATTGAGATCGGGGAGGGTATAGGTGGGGCCAAATCTTTGGCTTTATTTTTTTCCTAATATACACAGTATTGTTTGAACAACACGATATTCAAAAACATGTTTTTAGTTCCTCGTAACGAAATAAGGATTTTGCAGTTAAGCTCCACCTTCTTGACTCACGACGAATAAGAAAGTCATCACAATTGAGTCAGGGCGGGTGGGCGGGACTACATTTTGTCTCTGTTTAACATGAATTGTGTAGACTTGATTGTCAAAATGAAATTTAGAGCACGCTACGGGCACTTATGTTAAAGTTGACAACTGTGAACTGACATGTTAATATTGCTGCCAACAATTCAGACTTGCCAACACAAAAATTTGCAATCATTGATAGTCACCTAGTATTAAACTAGAAACACTATCTAGAATATCACACATGAAAACTATGACAGATCTACCTAAAACATTTGTCCTTGCTGCTAAAAAAAAAATAAAATGTTATAACTAGACTTGAATGAACACACAAATAGAAAGAAAAAACAACTAGTTTCTGGAATGTAGAAAATTTAAGAAAAATACGAGAAAAACTTTAAGGAGTTGGAGAATAAACAAGACAATTAAGACGATTATCCGAAAATAAGAAATAAATACAGAACAAAATGCGAAGACAAAATAAGAGGAATCAGAAATGAACAGGAAAAATTGACCTACATTAATAAAGCAAAATAGAAAATGACAGCAGTTACAGAAGAGAACAAGAAAGAAGTGAAGATGTTACGCGGCATAGGAAAGAGTACAGAAGATGACGGCAAATAAAAATATAGAAAGAAAAGTTTCAGAAAATTATTTTGAACGAATTCTATATTTTTTATAGATTAGTACCTACACCGTATTCATGTCGAAATCTAACTAATGACTAGTACAATTTGCAGAGGGTAGAAAAATCACACAATTTCTGTCATGTTCGTTAAACATTAGTCTGTTGTCAAAAGTAAACAAAAGATTTTTTAACTTTTCCCCACAAGACACACATAAGTCACATAAGTGTCGAGGTGGATTTAAAATGCAATAATACAACTTCCTCTGTTATCAGACGCTTTATTGTAACAAAGCACAAATTTTAATCACTGACTTCGATCCTCAGCACCCTCAGTTTCCCCTGATCAGCGAGAAGACAAGCAGCCGTATTGTTCCCCGTACAGTACTTCGACGAAGAGAAGACCGTCACCAAGTGACCTTTCTGTTGTAGCTGCACAATCTACTTTGAGTACCAAAAAGTACCGCATTGGTGACTTACGTAAAACCCAGCTTCTACAACCTCATGTGCGCGCACCAAATGAGTGAAACCATGCGCAGACAAAAACTTCTCCAAAGCTTCAACACTAAAAATGTGAGCGGTACCTCTCCGACTATTCACGGCAAAACCTTCATTAGCTAGAAGCTCCATCGCGACTTTATCTGTCAGGTTTTTAGTGCGAATTGGGTCGTTCCACATTAGTTCCCAAGCAAGAGCACTTTGATCCTGAGGTTCCGTTAACACCGCAGGTATGTCGTTTATTGCGGTAACCGCAGGACACAACCACGGTGGAGGAATCCCGCCGTGACAGCAGAAAACAGTACCGTCGATGACAGCCGCCAGAGGCAACACATCGAACACATCATGGATAATATTAAAGACGAAAGAGCCGAGTTTTTCTCCAAACTTCAACTTACACTCCCTAAAAAGTCCAATAGAACAGTGATGGTTCAGTTTTAGCGAACAAACTTCTCGAAAGTCCACTGTGTCGAGATGCGTCGAATCTCGTGGTTCCCTCGCAAGAGGAATACCTTTCGCGGACTTTGTAGTTTGTAGGCGAAGAGGTAGCAAGCGACTTCGAAACTGTACAATCCACGATCGACGTAGTCTCCCAAAAATAGGAGGTTACAAGGGCACAGGCTGGGTCCTACGTGCCAAAAGATCTTCTCGAAGTATAAAAGATCGCCAAAGTTGCCATGTAGATCACCTAAAGTTTGAAACTGAATGAAAGTTGTATGGAATTTTTAAACACACCCAAAATGTAGACCGGTGCTGGTATGTCTAACAATCTAGCTTCTTTCTTCAAGATTTCTTTCACGTCGGTACACACAGCGCTCAAGTTCTGATACACTGTAGCTGGGTCCAGCTTTCCCCAATTAAACGCAAAAGATTCGATCTTTTTGTACGGCTGGGCCATTTTCTGATTCACGTTTACCAGATAGCGCAAAGCTTTTAGAAGTTCGTTCGAGTGAGACTTCTGGTCAAACTTGTTGGTTGATTCTTTGCGGGTGACGTCGTTGGTGGGGATAGTGCGCAAGCACATCATAGATGCAGCATCTAGCGAGAAAATAAATACTAAAAGGACCACTGTACGGTAAAGTAAATAAGGTACTCTCAATGTTCCAATACTGGTTGATGTTGATCTCTGTGCCACTCTTCTGGATCTTGACACTGTGTATCGCCAGTTCGTAGCTGTGGACCTTTTTTGACTTCGAGGGTTCTACAAAAGAGAAAATTATCTTCTACTTTCTGACCAGTTACACTTACCAGAAGATTTGTTAGGAAATGGACTTTTTCCACGAGTCTCCCTCTGACTAATCTTAACATTAATCTAACAAACACACAACGCCGTATACGCACTAACTTTATATCCTTGACGACTTTATGAAAACTCATGGGCGCTCTAAAAATCATTGATGTCCCCCTCAGCTTCAGTTCCCCAACGACACGAAGAAATTCCAACATTGTGAGGGCATGGTTTTCGGAAAGTTGCATAGACCTGGAATCTTAAGTGCTACTCTACCGCCACTGGTGCCACACTTACAGATAGCATTCCTTCACCTCCTTTTCAATGTTAACGGGGTCTAAAGCCTGTTTCCGTGACTTCATTAGCATAGTAACAAAGTTCTTCATTTCGTCGCGTTTTAACACGCTATTTTCTTGGACGTCTAAATATTTGAAGATATAGCGACAACGCACCTCCGCATGGGTACCCCCATGGTTGGTTCCCGGTTCAGTAGCCGCCAAAAAGTAAAGCAACTCTCTGAAACAGATTCCTCCACGTCCATACATATCCGCGGACCGGAACAAATGACGAGTATCTTCTTTGGGCCAGCCTAATTCGATCATAAACTTGCTGAAAGTTTGCAGAGTCAGATACATCGCCGGAAAAGTCATCAAGAGGAATTCTCCGTAGAGAGTTTCTTGAGCTATAAAAAAACGAAACTGTTGATGATTTTAAAAAATCAAGAAGGGTACCGTTGCGGTCCATGCCCGCTGCCTCCACTATCTGATCAAAGAGTGTGGTTTTTCCAGTGACTAAGACAGCATCGCTAATTTCCATAAAATTATTTACCACGGCATACTCGCTGGGAATGTTAACGACGGATGACTGCTTATTCATATGCCAAGACAGGAACTCAACAAGTTCGGGACTCTTCAATACATTGCTAGTGTGGAATTTCGACACCTCTTGAATACTACTCCAGCGAATCTTGCCCTTGTACTAAAAACCCGTCAAAAACAATACCAGCTGCCCCTCGACTTACCCTCCCAAACAAGCTTTTCGATTTCTTCTTTACGTCGATTTTGACTGGGACGCTGAAAATGGAGTGACTGATATAACCACCCTTGGGAGACGTAGGCAGCCACACTTTGTTGAACTGCATCAACTTATCTATCGGGAAAGTCATTCCGAAGATCTGCAAAGTGATAATCGTACTTCTGGTTTTGATATTTGTGGGTTTTTACGTCTTGGATGAGGTCCTTCGTCATATAGGTCACCCACGAATTAGGTGCTGGTACTTTCACGGAGGGTATCCAGTACTCGTTCGTGTTGGGTTCTATGATCAACATCATGGTCGCGTCCGCCGAACAGTAGAAAGCTATCGAAACAACATCGCACAACTCGAAAATGGATTTAAATGTAGACGTTTTTAAGTAACTCATCGAGAACGCTTTTTCGCTAAATTTAGAGTCGCCAGATGCTGAACTCATTTGGACGTCATCGTGACAAAAAAATTGGCGAGAAAGGGAGAGATTTGACGGAAGCTTTCTAGTTATTATCCATTCACGATTTTTTCGACTAAAGTAGGCACTGATATGGTTTAGTCAGTTGGACAGACTGATTCGTGTTGAAATTAATTATTTTATACATCTAGTGGTTAGTATGTTTGTAGGTGAGTGAGAGGACCAGATAGAAATGAATAGAGACCCTAGATATGCTTTGGAAAAGAGTTGTGACACGGACATTTTCTGTCTCTATCTTTATTACATGACGGTCAGTTATGAAATAGCTATAGTGATTGCTGTCTTTATCTAATTTAGTGATTTAGTTGCAAAAACTTCAAAAGAAATTTATAGGTTAAGTTACATTTTCAAGCAGTGGCGTAGTGCTCCAAATAGTTTCTTTGAAATTTTGTTAACAGTACTGACACTGACAGTACCTTATATTTAAGAAGATGTGTTATGCGGTTAAGTACTTCTTACAATTTGCAACCGGCATCGCTGGTAAAACAGAAAAATACAGAATACCTAATCATACTGATTTACACTTTATAAGATTATATCACAATTTGCAGTTAAGTTTAAACACCATTCTGTACTTAGGTACTATCGTTGTTCCCAGCTAAGATTGTCAGTATCTAATGGTTTTGCTTCTGGTCAAAACAACATTTTGTAATTTAACGAACGGCACCGTGGTAAGAAATTTGAAGCATGTCTAGTAGGTTCTCTATCTACTACTCTATCATAAACAGTGGTTTTACAACGTCCTCACATTTCCATCATGAATATTTGCTCTGATATGTAGAATAATCTCAGTAGAAATATATAGATTCATGTACCTCTATATTAAATAAAACTTACAAGTTAAAATTTGTTACATCTTTTAATTAAAATAACAATGAAAAAAAAAATACAAAAACAAGCATGGTCATCGAGTTTCTGTAACTCGAAATAATTAAGAAATGTTCCACAAACAATTAATGAAATTGCCGAAGAATACATGAGGTTGGATTGAACATTTTTAGACAAAGGTGGAGCGTTAGCAGCAAAATCAACATTCCTACTTTTGTTATTTGGGTTAACTATTGAATTTTGGAACTGCGTTTTTGTACTTTTGATTTTAATTTCTTTTGCAATTCTAGATAATGTGTCTCTGTGTGTGGAATTCCCAGTAAAATGATAACATACGATTTGCTTCCATCGTAAGCTTACACCTCCTAACATAAAAAACAAAACATAGGTAGCGACTTCATTTAAATTTGTTAATGTTGTTTCCCAAAAGTAATGAGGAACGTCGACAGTATTCTTTACCTGGATTGATTGCTGCTTCGCCTAAAAATAAACAATAATCTCTTTCCTAATCGTTAAAATTTTGAATTTTGATTGTTAAATAGGTAAAAATTTCATGTAAAATTCCTGGTAAAAACGGTATGTGCTGAATTTTACGGCATAGAGTTCCACTTTGAAGGTAACGGAAAATTTATATTCAAAAGATATAGTTATGTCCTGATGTTCCACAGACAAATTTTTGTTTTAATGGCTTCTTCTATTGTTTTATTGTTCCAGCGTTTTGGTAGTTTACATTTCACACTTCAATTTTGAATTTGCTTTTCGTTCAGAATCCCTTTTATAGTTCTGTTTTATGCATCGTCCTTATTTTTGTAATTTATTACTTGCCCTTTTAAACTTGAAATTTTTGCTTTCAAAACATTAATTTCTTTTTCAGCACCCCGCGTTATTTTTTCTTGCAACTTTTTTTCATTTGCAGTTTTTTGATGAAGTTGTCTTTTTCGAAAATAGTCTGCTGAACTTCATCAATAACATTTTTTTTTTTGCCAAGAACCGGTCATTTTGACGTAAATTCAGCCACATTATAAATTGTTGGAATTGCGTTCTCACATATTTTGCATTCACTTGAAATATAAAAATTCTCTTTTTTGAAGTGAACCTGTTGACCAAGGATTAGATGGAAAATACAATTTCGGACAACAACCTCGCAAATGTAAGCCCTTTTGCCAATTTTTCAAGATGGATATTGCATCTGTTCTTTCCATTTGTTAAGTAATACCTTGTTTTCGGGGCCTTTAAACAATGAGAAACCATTTGCTTCTGTATTTCTACAGTTTCGTACACAACAGACGACGACTATTCTCTTCCACGTCTATGTACTAAATGACAATTACAAACTGTCAAAACATGACTCAAAAAAGGCATCCGTAGCCAGCATAGTAAAATAAAATTTACCATTAATTTTGACGTTTCGTGTCACAACTCTTTTCCAAAGTATATCTAGGGTCTCTAGAAATGAATAATCAAAATGGCGGTGTAGTCTTGATATTTATTGAAGGTATTGAAAGACAAAGTCTGTGAGGGTTCGTCATTTTATTATTAGTATGTGAATTGTCAGGAATGTTTCTTTAGTTACAAGGCGCCTTTTTGTTCAATAAAGAAACCCAAAGAAAACTTAACGTTGTCTGACTTGAAATACAAAGAAAGTTTAACAATTCGACGGTGTAGTTTTTTCTGTCGGTAGTCTTCGGTGGTCTGACACTTACTTCGTAATGGTTTACCACTTTTCTACTAAGATTTATTTCGTAGAAATAGAATAGGAAAGATACAAGTCACAAAAAATGGACTTAGACTGGATGTAGAAGCCATCAAACAGGGAAGAGCAAAATCAAGAAATTAGAGATAAGCATGAAGAGTGGGAACGAGCTAAGGAAGAAATGGGAAAGAGAGTGGGTGAAGTAGAAAGTCAACTAGATCAAATGGAGAGAGAAAAGAGAAGAAACAAAGTAGTGATGATGGGATTGGAAATAGGAACAGGAGAGCAGAAGCGGATAATTGAAAAAGTGACAAAATTTTTAAAAGAGAAAGCCAAAAATAGAGTGTAAAGTTAAAAGCACTTACAAAATTGCAGAGAAAGCTTATGTAGTGGAATTCGAAAATAGAGAAGAAAAAATAAATAAATGTAATGGAAACCAAGAAGAACTTAAAAGGATCGTCAGTTTACGTAAATTCAAATCAAAATAAAAGAAGAGGCAACAAGAAAGAGAAATAAAGGAAAAATTGTTAGAATGGGATATAAAAAGTCAACTGTAGATGGTAGAAATTTTAAATGGAATGAAGAAGAGGGCAGACTCAAGAAGGTAGAAAATTTTTAGTAAAGAGCCAAAAGAAAAGGAAGAAAAGGAGGAAAAAGGGAAGGAAACAAGCCAAAGGAAAAAGAATAAAGGATGCAGATAGGGAAAATAGTCAATGGGAAGCTGGTACAAAATTAGGAGAAAAAGGGGTGAACGTACTGTTTTAGAATGTCCAAGGGTTGCGAAAAAAGGAAAAGGAGTTCTAGGATTACGTGGGAAAATTTGATGTGGTGGGGCTAGTAGAGACAAGGGTACAAAGAGAAAACTGGGAGAAATTTGAAGAGACACTACCACAAGAATATGTGTGGGAGTGTCAAGGGGCGACAAAGGAAAAGAAAAAGGGTAGAGGAAGCGGAGGAATAATAATGGGATTTCGAAAAGAAATGCAAGAATTGGAAAAGGGAATTAATAATAAAAACGGACTAATGAAGAAAGTAATACAGCTTGATAACAATCGATGAAAAATAATAATAATTGTTTATAGCAAGAAAATGGAGGAAACCAAGATAAACATAGAAAAGGAAATAAAAGAAATTATCTAGGAGATATAGACGAAATGTTCAGAAAAGCACAAACAGGAGGGGTGGTAATGGGCAAAGAGAAAGTGTATATGTTTAAAACCGCCGCAATGGGTTATAGAAAAATTTTGTAATAAAACAACTGACTAGTCTCAACCAGCCGCCTTTATTCGAGTTCACAAAAATAAAGTCAATACAGTAATTAACGTTTTGGGCAAAATTTTACAGCCAAGCAGAAATTCCTTCCCTTTAGAAGGGACAATCTCTGACGAATTATCTGTCTTGGGGAGTGATTCCCTCCAAAAACAGTAATAAATCAGACTCAAGCAGTCACTTTTCGGCAAATACAAAAAAGAAAAAATACACCCTGTACAAGCTGCATCATTGTAAACGGCGAAAATTTTCTACCCTTGAATCCTAGTTAAGATTATCACACTTCGAAACTTGTTATATAGGATAAGTTCGGAAGGTTGACAATCTGTCTGATCTAAACTAAAACTCTACAATAAGTATTTAAAATTATAATATTTCGACGAATAAGCCAGGCAGGCAGGACGATTTCCCGAAGAACCAGGACAGTGTCTATTTCTTTTGAACACCTTGAAACGGAACTTCAATGTCTTAAAGATGGTCCGTCCACCAATTACCAGGACTACGGGGTACTTATTTCTCGTTGTTTTCCACTGAAGAGAGTAAACATAATATATATAATAATAACGCAAATAGATTTATTGCTATTATTTAAAAAAGTGACCAAAATACTTACAAATTTTACTTCCCAACAGCACGAAGTCAAAAACATAATCGTTAAAAAAGCGCAGATAAAATTTCTATACACTGGAGACTGATGTTATGAGCTGGATATCTTCGAACGCTTTGAAAAAAATCCCTTTTTGTGCTACCAGTTACTACGCTTTTAGATGTCCGTCAAGAATCGATCCTGTAAGATAATTTTTATATTTTGTTTTACAATATACAACTTATTACCTTAATTAAGTATGTTTTCCTTTGCTTAATCGTGGTGTGGTTGTCGTGCCCCCATTTTCGTCCAAGACAGTCTTTGGAAAATACTAGAAGGTACCATGCATCGCTTTTTCTTTTTCTATATGTATTTATGAATAATGCAGAAAACACAGTTACGTTTTTTTTTCAGAAAATTTTGTTAAATTTGTTGTCATATGTTTTTTTATTTAGTACTATTTGCGAAAAAGATGTCAGTTGATCAGTTCTTTCTTTTGGAAAATTGTACGTATCACAAGTGAATCTTAACTTTTCTGAACTTACAAATTAAGTATTCAAAAATTTTTAAGCTTGATTGTAACCGGGGGACAAAGCAAACGTGATGAAGTCATACTAAAAAAATTATTAACCTGGTATAACGGGTGTATGGAAACCCTTACGGAACTTACTACGAGGGGTTTCGATTGATTTCGGCTGGCACGAGGTGCAGTGAAAATAAATTGTGCAATTTGTGGTGAAAAGTACAGTACGAAGTGTGTAGATTAACATAAGAATAAGAATCGAGTGTGGAAGAAGTTGTAGATAACCAAATAGACGTAACTAAAGGCGAACGAGGTTAAATTTGCAAATTGAGTACGTGTAGAAACAGTAGTAGAAACGGTGAAATACGAAGGTCACCCAAATAATAAAGGACACATGAGTGGAAACTCCGAATCTGACGACGCGACGTGGAATATACGACGGATGACGGAAAACGTAAAAGAAACAAGTCAGAATGTGAACTTAAAAAAACAAGGGATTTCGGATATGGCAGAACTGAAAACGATAGTGACAGCAATGATGCAAGAAATAAATGAATTGAAAGAAGGTCAGCAAAAATTTAAGATGGCGTCGGCGAGTGTAAACGTGTCGCATACAGTGTTCTAAAATAAATGATGATGTTGATAAGCAATGCAGAAAATGTAAAAACAAAGTGTCTAATGCCTGGTCGTGTGTTAAGTGTCATACGTACTTTCATAAAAGCTGTGCTTTAGTGGTACAAGAAACGAATAACAAGCTTATTTTTCTGTCGAATAATGAGCTAGTATGTGTTAAGTGCTGTGGTGATTCGAATGAATCTGTAAGTTCCAATAGTTCTACATCTTCTGCTCAAGAAGTTTTAAAGTTCTTGAATAGTGATGAATTTTCCAATCTGTTAAATAAAATGGTCGACAAGACTGTGTCTCCTCTAATGATCGAAATTAAAAAACTTAGAGATGAGGTTCAGATTCTAAAATCAAGTATTTTCGAGAAGATGTCAACAAGAGAAACCCAGTATAGTTCTTTAAAACTGCCTTGTTGGGATGATGATCGTTTATCTGAAAAATCATCAGTTTTATCTAGTAATGAAATTGAAGGTAATGTCTTCACAATTAGTGGTAATAGTGACAAGAAAGGTCCTCAGAAAAGCCTGGATAAAACATCGTTTAAAAGAAATGTAAACCTTCGCTCAGCTGTTGTGGAAGATAATCAAAACGTGTATGAACCCAATAAAAATGCTCCAGTTAAGTCCAATATTACTAATGCTACCAGTAAAACGAGGGTAATGAAGACCTTGATAATTGGTACTTCTCAAGTCACCAATGAAAATGGAGATGCTCTTGGAGATCGTAGTAATGAGTTTGTTGCTGTCACTAGGCGACGAAAAAGGGACATTCATGTCACAAGAGTAAATCCTGGGGTTAATATTAGTAAGATTGAAGATTACATTAGGAATAAATTACAGTGTGTTTGTAGCGCAAATGACAATATGGACAATATTCAATCCTTTGAACTTAAACAATTAAATTCTAAGTTCCCTGATAAATACAGTTCCTTTAAATTATCAATCGATTTTTCATTATTTGAAAAAGTTTTGGATCCATCTTTTTGGCCAATCGGTATTGCTGTTCGTAAATATTTTAGTCCTCGTAGTGTACGAAGACAATCAAATTTTCAAAAAACTCCAGATCATCAAACTCAGAGTTAACAATTTATTATCAGAATGTTAGAGGGTTGAGAACTAAAATCAGTGATTTATATTCTAATGTATTGTGCGAGAACTATCCCATAATTTCTTTAACAGAAACTTGGCTTAATGACACATTTTTTAATGGGGAAATTATAGATGATAGATATGTTGTTTACAGAAAGGATAGATCCTTTTTAGAGACGAATAAAGAACGTGGTGGTGGTGTAATGATAGCTGTTATAAAGAATATTCCTTCTACTTTACTGCAAATTGATACTCTTCAAAGAGAAGAAGTTTGGATACTAATTTCGTTTAATGGCATTCAAATTATAATTGGAACTGTGTATTTTCCTCCTAATTCACCCTTAGCTGTGTATTCTGACCATATATCTTTGGTTGATTCTTTAATTGCTGATTATCCTGAAACTACAGTATGTATTGTTGGTGATTACAATTTGCCTGGATTGAGCTGGAAAAGTGATACTAATTGTAATTATTTAATACCTGTTAATGTTGTTTCAATGATTGAAGAATTAATTTGTGACAATTTCGCTGTGAGTGGTCTTTTTCAATACAACTTTATATTGAATGGAAATGATGTAATTTTGGATTTAAGCTTTAGTAATACTGCACTTATGATTGAAGAATGTTTATCCTTATTACCGAAAGATATAAATCATCCTGCCTTTATTATTAAAATTAGTGACATATTCTTGCCTTTACTAGAGCATACTATATACACATCTTATTTGGATTTTAAGAACGCGTCATTTGATGTAATTAATACCCAACTGGAGCAAATTGATTGGTTTACCATGGAAAATTTTTCCCATCTTGATGATTGTATGTATTATTTTTATTCTCACATAAATTCTCTTATAAATCGTTTTGTTCCTATTGTTGTTAAAAAAACTCAGAACAACTTTCCTTATTGGGTTGATAACCATACAAGATCTCTTATTGTGAAAAAAAAAAAAGCTCATAGGGATTTTAAGGTAACTGGATTATATTCAGATTATGTAAAGTTTTGTGATCTTAGACGTACATGTAAGTTGGCTATGAACTTGTGTAGGAAAAATCATATTCGAAGTGTTTTTGGTCATTTGTCAAGAAATCAAAATCTAATACAGTGGGGTTTCCCTGTTCTATGTTCTTAGGTGATATCATAGCTGATTCTTCTAAATCCATTGCAGATTTGTTTGCTACTTATTTTCAAACTGTATATACGGTAGCTGATACTGATGTTAATATGAGTTCATCAAATTGGAAAGACAATCTTGTTGATATTAATTCATTTGAAAAATCCACCGTTTTGTCTAAATTACTTTCCTTAGATTCTTCTGTTAAAATAGGTCCAGATGGTATTCCATCACTATTTTTAAAACAATGTGCTCACAATTTATGTTTTCCCCTACAAATTTTATATAAAAGATCTTTACAATTATCCAAAGTTCCTACACTATGGAAAATTTCTTATGTTACACCTATTTATAAGAAAGGTCATCGTAGTGATATTTCAAACTATAGACCTATTAGTATTGGTTCACCTATAGCCAAAATATTTGATTCAATTACATGTGACATTCTGTCTTTCCATGTAAAAAATATCATCCTAGATGAACAGCATGGCTTCTTTAAAGGGCGTTCGACAACTTCTAATTTAATAATATTTACTAATTATATAGGTAGTTAATAATATGGAAAATGGTTACGATACTGATTATATTTACACTGATTTGGCAAAAGCTTTTGATAGGGTGAATATTCGTATTCTACTATTAAAATTGGCTAAGATTGGAATTGGTGATCCTTTACTTTCATGGATAGATTCATATCTAAGTAATCGAAGGCAATTTGTAATTATAAATGGGTTTAAATCAAAATGTATAATTCCATCTTCTGGTGTTCCGCAAGGTTCCCTAAGCCTTTGCTTTTCTCTCTATTTATAAATGATATCAAAGATGTTATAAAATGTAGTCAGCTTTTACTATTTGCAGATGATTTAAAAATCTTTAAAAAAATTACTTGCCCCTCTGATTGTCATATGATACAATCTGATTTGAACTTTTTAGAATTTTGGTGTAAGAAAAATGGACTAGAATTTAACGTACCTAAGTGTAAGGTTTTAAGATTTAGTCGTAAATTATGTTCTGAACATTATAATTATACATTGTCTTCTATTGTTCTTGAAAATGTGACCAGTTTTCGTGATTTAGGAATTACTATTGATAGTAAACTCTCTTTTATTTTGCACATAAATAATATTGTTTCTAAAGCAAATAAAATGTTAGGATTAGTAAAAAGAACCTGTAGTGAGTTCACAAATCTTAGATCTTTTATTGTTTTGTTTTCATCTTTTGTAAGGTCGATCCTCGAATACGGTGTTACTATATGGTCTCCTTATTATAAGATGCACAGTCAAAGAATTGAAGAAATTCAAAAAAAATTCGTCAAATTTCTGTGCTATAAGTTTAAAATATTTTTCAATAGCTATAATTATACTATGATAATAAGTTATTTTGGGCTTACGTTACTTTCTAAGAGAAGAATAATGTTTGATATGTGTTTTGTTTATAAAGTATTGTCTGGTATTGTTACTTGTTCAAATATTTTAATTTTATTTATGATACATGTTCCATCTCGTCAAGTAAGAAATTCTCACTTACTTTCAATTCCATATCATCGTACTTTGTACGCGTTTCAATTGCCTGTTAGTCGTCTTGCTAGACTGACACTTATCTATAATGAAATTGAGTTTGTGGGAATTTCTTACACCAGGTTTAAATCATCGATCCACAGGAAGATTTTAATTTAGTGTTGTAACTTTTGTATGTTTTTATTATTGTAATTGGTTTTTTTTTGACCGTTAATAAACATCATCAAACAAAAATATGAAAAATACTAGAAAAAGCAAAAGTAGAGAAAACCTTGCTCAGAGCAATCAAAAGTATACACAAAAGCGACTAGAAATATAGTGAGAACTGACAACGCCCAATCAAACGGGATTCTAACAAGCAAAGAAGTGCGCCAAGGAGGGGTGTTGAGACCATTACTATTTATAACCGAAATGGAACGAGAATATAAAAGGGGTAAATATAGTATGAAAACTGCACCAGCTATTAATAACAATAATGATGAACGCAGATGATTTTGTTATATCGGCGGATACAGAAAAATAACTTCAAAAGAAATTAGAGATACGGAATAAAGAATTTAAAGACTACGGAATGAACATAAACGTGGAAAAAACAGAAATCACGGTAATAGGAAAAAATTAACAAAAAATATACATCAAGCTTGACAATGATCAACCAAAAGGAAAGTTTCAAATACCTAGGATCGACAATTTGGCCAAGGCAAAAAGAAAGCACAGCAAGATGGTAAAGACACTACGAAGGAGAAAAATGAGATGGAGGCAAGCCGAGCTAAGGAATGCTGTGGAAGGAGCAGTGCGACCACATTACCTCTACACCGTACAGTAGAAGAGGAACGGGATTAAGTAGGTGTCACTTTTAAAATCCGTTTCAGAAGACAATTGATTTGGTCAACGGCTGATGTTATTAAATATTGGACGACTTTTTCGTGACCGTTTACGGAAGCTGCGTGCAGTGGCGTCCAACCCGAATTAGAAGCACGATAGATTTCGCCACCGAATGTCACCAAACGTTCGACAACCTTTTCATGCCCGTTTTGCGAAGCTACAAAAAGTGCTGTCGAACCGTTTTTATTAACGCGATTGATTTCAGCCCCGACTGTCGTTAAGTATTCAACAACTTTTTCGTGGCCGTTTTTGGAAGCTACGTGAAGTGGTGTGTCACCTTCATTATCAGCACGATTGATTTCGGCGCCGACGGTCGTCAAATACTCCACAACTTTTTCGTAGCCTTTGAAGGATGCTACGAAAAGTGGTGTCGAACCGTAATTATCAACCTGACTGATGTCCGCACCGACTGTCACCAAGTATTCGACAATTTTTTCGTGGCCGTTGAAAGAAGCCACGTGAAGAGGTGTCCAACCGTTATTATCAGCGCGATTCAGCTCGACGCTCTTGGTCACCAAGTATTCGACAACTTTTTCGTGGCCTTTGTCGCAAGCCACGTGAAGTGGTATCAAACCGTTATTACTAACACGATTAATTTCAGCGCCGGCTGTCGCCAAGTATTCGACAATTTTTTCGTGGCCGTTGAAAGAAGCCACGTGAAGAGGTGTCCAACCATCATTATCAGCGCGATTCAATTCGGCGCCCTTTGTCACCAGGTATTCAACGACTGTTTCATGGCCGTTTTCGCAAGCTACGTGAAGTGGGGTATCACCATCATTATCAATGTGATTGATTTCGGCGCCGGCTGTCGTCAAATACTCGACAACTACTTCGTGACCTTTTTCGCAAGCAATGTGAAGTGGTGTCCAACCGTCGGCAGTAGCGCGATTGACTTCAGCGCCGGCTGTTGTTAAGTTTTGGACAATTGTTTCATGGCCTTTTCGGGAAGCTGTGTAAAGTGGTGTCGCATCTTTTTTATTAGTGCTATTGATTTCAGCGCCGATTGTGGCCAAGTATTCGACAATTTTTTCGTGACCTTTTTCGGAAGCCACGTGAAGTGGTGTCCAGCCTTCATGACTAGCACGATTAATTTCAGCGCCAAGTGTCGCCAGATACTTCACAATTGTTTCTTGACCGTTGTGGGAAGCTATAAAAAGTGGTGTGCAACCCTTGTTTTGAACGCGATTGATTTCGGCGCCAAGTGACACTAAATATTCGACAACCTTTTCGTGGCCTTTTTCGCAAGCTATGTGAAGCGGTGTCCAACCGTCATTCCTAACAGAATTAATTTCCGCACCGGCCGTGGTTAACTTGTCGATAACTTTATCATGGCCATTTCGAGAAGCTACATGAAGAGGTGTGGCACCTTTTTTGTTAGCGCGATTGACTTCGGCACCGATTGTCACCAAGTATTCGACCACTTTGTCGTGGCCTTTTTCGCAAGCTACGTGAAGTGGTGTCCAACCATCATGATTAGCACGATTAATTTCAGCGCCAAGTGTCGCTAGATATTTCACAATTGTTTCATGACCGTTTCGAGAAGCCATAAAAAGTGGTGTTGAACCGTTCTTATTAACGCGATTGATTTCAGCCCCGGCTGTCGCCAAGTATTCGACAACCTTTCCGTGGCCTTTTTCGGAAGCTAGATGAAGTGGTGTCCAACCGTCCTTCGTCACAGGATTAATTTTAGCGCTGGCCGTGGTTAAGATTTTGGTAACTTTTTCGTGGCCATTTCGAGAAGCTACGTGAAGAGGTGTTACACCTTTTTTATTAGCGCGATTGACTTCGGCGCCGACTGATTCCAAGTATTCGACAACTTTTTCTTGACCGTTTTGGGAAGCTATAAAAAGTGGTGTGCAACCATTATTTTCAGCGCGATTGACTTCGACGCCGAGTCTCACTAAGCATTGGACAACTTCTTCGTGACCGTTACGGGAAGCTAGGTGAAGTGGTGTGCTACCGTTGTTGTTATTAGCACAATTGATTTCGGCACCGACTGTCGCCAAGTAGTCGACAATTTTTTCGTGGCCTTTTTCGGAAGCTACGTGAAGTGCTGTCCAACCGTGATTAGTCGAGGGATTAATTTGGGCGCCGAAGGTCACTAAGTATTGGACAACTTTTCCGTGGCCGTGAAAGGAAGCTATCAAAAGTGGTGTCCAACCCTCGTTATTAGCGCGATTGATTTCGGCACCGGCTGTCGCTAGGTATTTGACAACATTTTCGTGGCCGTTTTGACAAGCTAAGTAAAGTGGTGTATGACCACCAATCGCAGCGCGATCGATTTCTGCGCCGACTGTCTCTAAGTAGTCAACAATTTTTTCGTGCCCATTTCCAGAAGCTATGTATAATAGTGTGATAACGAATTCTTTTTCCACAAACAATTTTAAAAGATATTCGTTGACATCGAAGTTGGGAAAGTAATAGTTCGGTAAGAGAGGTATTTGTACGAATAGTACACTAATAAGTTTCACTTCACACCCAAAAGTATTTAACACTTCAGCTGTCAAAAGTATACATACATCGTCATAGCCGAACAAAGCAGAATAATATAAAAAGTTTATTATATCATCGCGAGTGCATAATCGATTCAAATCAGTTTGTTTCGTTCGTAGTAACTTTAGTTCTGCTCCCAAGCTCTCACTTTTTGTAGCATAAGACAAAGGAGTCGCGTTTAGCAGAGTGTCAAATTCGTCAACATTGTTCTTTTGTTGTAAATACGCCAACGCTTCAAAATACGCTTCAGTTTCCGATTTTTTATCAAAATTGCGATCTTCTTGTACAATATACCCTTGAGTTATTTTTATACGCGGATGTCTTTTACCCCATGACGAAATCAAATGTAAGGCACTTCTGTCCCATTTATCTTTGAGTGTCAAAATTTCGTCGTCGTAAGTTTTAAACGTTTCGTAATTTTTGTATAAGACGGCAATGTGAGCTTTAGAGTTTTTGGCTAACAACATATCAAAAAAGAAGCGAACGTTGTCGTATTTGGCGCCAAACAGTATATCAGCAATGAAAACTTTCAAATCACTAGTGTTTTTGAAAATATATACAGCAACTAAATATTCCGCGAAAGAGCTATGAAGAAAACGCGGTACATTATTTTGGAATTCTTTCACAAAACCAAGAGATGCATATTCTTCTACAACTGTTTCTAAACATTTTTCAAAGTCAATATTTAACTGCTGCAAAATTTCGTCGTGAAATACTACTTTAAAAGCCACTCGTTCATACAGATCTAAAGCTTCTCGTTTTTCTTTGTTAATTCTTCTCGCCAAATGCGGGTTTTTAATATCGATTTCAATCTTATCTTGGTAAAAAATGTTCAATTTTTCCGCAATAAAATAATCGTACAAGTCGGTTAAGAGAAACGTGTTGTCCATTAGTTTCAAATATTTTTCGTGATTTTGACGAAACAGTTCAGTAAGCATGAATATTTGAAGCGGAACACCCAAAATGTCTACGTGTTCCACGATCGCAAACGACGATTTGATTTTCTCAATTGTGACTTCAATTTGGTCTGAGGAAACAAAAGTATTTAGACGATTTCTGCAGTAATTTTCTTGTTCGTCTTCGCTAAACCGATTTATACTAAGCGCAAGCAAACTGAAGTGTTTTTCAAGGAATGGTTTCAAATTTCGTCTGCTAGTAACCCACTGGTGGAAACCTTTGGACGAAAGATGCAGAATAATTTTTAACACATCGTCTAAATTGTCGCTTAAAATTTCATCAAGGGCGTCCCACACGTACACAACGTTGTTCCTTTCTATACACATTTTGAAAATCTCGCGATCCAGTTTTTTGACCGACTGACAATTGTTGACAGTTTTTTCAAATAAATCTATATAGTTAGTTGTTTCGGGGAACTCGGAATTATAAAAAAATGAATTAACGTCTTGAGGATTAATTATGACTGTCCAGTATTTCGGTGGACATTTATTTTTGAAACTTTTCATTAATTCTGATTTACCGATTCCCGGATCGCCAGTTATCAGATTGATGCTATTTTCTAACCTAGAAGACCACAACGTGTTTTCGTCCGTTGAATATTGTTCAGACAACTTATAAACTTCTAAGTCACTAACATCACCTTTGCTTTTGACCCACTCTAAATTTCCATCATCCAAAAGTTGAAAATAGTGAAACTGTTTAGTTGTTTGATTTTCGGTGTAAATTTGTTGAAGTTCAGAGTCGTTGTAATGTCTGTTACCTATATAGATAGTGTTAGCCAGGTTTAGATTATCAAAATGGAAGTTGTTTTCGTTGTTACCTAGATTGATAACTGCATTAGTAAAGCAAGAGTTATGATCAGTCTGATTTTTTTTCTGTAAAAAGTTTTCAATGTCAATTAAGTTACATTTGTTGAGTTTATCTCTAGCTGTATCAAAGTTATTAGCACAATTTAAAACAATAACTGTGTTTTCGTGAGCTTTCTCTAAATATGTTATATTTACAACATTCCGAGGGAGATAACGTCCGATATAAGGTTCAGGAAGGGTTTCTTGTTCACCTCCTATAGGATATGGACCGTTTAGCATTTCCAGCAGACTGTCCGTGGTGACACTTTCTAAAAACCCATCACTATTTCCAAAAGCTGTTACAAGATCAAGTTCGCCTTTTCCTTGGATCGATATGGTAAAATTTTGCATGACTTCGTCGCGCAAATCGGGTTTCAAGTTTGATAGATTTTGAAAGACGGAATAGTTTTGCATCCACTCCTCATTCTTCCCTTCACCAATTAGGATGAACTTTTTATCGGGACAAAGTTGAATGGCTTTGTCGACGTTTTCGTGTTGACGTAGTGTTAATGGACACTTGTCCATTAACCATAACAGCTGCATCAATATCTTTGGATCCGTTTTGTCGATATTACCATTGTCAATATATCTGACTGTAGGAAGGTACCTTTCTCTCACTAAGTTTAATTCTTTAAAGTCAATGTTTTCTTCTCGTCTAGAATCACCCCACAGTTGTTTAAGCGCTTCATACGATTCCCTTTTACACAGTGTAATATCAAAAGACGAAACAACTTCTCGAAATATTATCATTTTGTCATTGTCAATCACCGAACCAAACGACAAAGGTTCAATCTGACAAAATAGAAGCTGCAGCGCAATTAATCGCTGAACCCACTTTTTATTCAACTTTTCTTTCACCCCGTCTTGCATATTCCACTGAGATATCGTTCTGAGGAATCTATCGAATGTTTCCTCATCCGAAACATACCTCGTGATGAATTTTTCAGCAATTCTTCCTTTCATCTTTTCAACATTTTCTTGATCGGTATACAGATAAAATTTACTAAAAAACGTTTGATATTCTCGAATTTTGAGCAGCGTTTCTACACTCCAATCTTCTTCGATTATTTCAAACTGATACACACAGTCTGTTTTCTCTAAAAATTCTAAAGTAGCTTTTGTTTTAACAGCTTTAATAGAAAATTCTTCTTCTTCCAGTTGAAATGTTGTCTTGTCGTCACACTTAAAAGGTCTATTGGTAAATAGTATCAGTTCGTCTACATCGACCTTTATTTCTTTAAAACTTTGTAAATATTTGGCTATGCTGAAATTTCCTTTATTTTTTTGTAAATCTTTTGCGCGCAGAGCTTGCGTTTCGCTGTGTTTTAGCTGCACAGCTTTCACTCGTACTTCGTTGGCTTTTTCCGACTCGGTTTTAATAACTAGGTCATCAAAGGCTCCGAAATCCGCTTCGTTTGACGAAACATGAAAGTTCTTTATTGTGACGTTGTTTACTAGTTCTAGGACAACATTAGCGACAGCTACGTCCTCGTAGTCTTTGCCTTTATCGGTGGTGCCGGATCGTTTTTTAAAACTCTGTGTAGATACAACATTAATTAGTACTGGAATCTAAGCAAAATAGTTGAAAAACGCAAAATTAATTAAAAGTTTTATTTTGAGTTAGTAGATAACGAGCTGATATTATCTTACAATTTTAGATAACTTATCTCGTTTATTATCGTCATTTAATATCAAAACCGTTGCAAAATACAAGTATTTTGGGCTATAGTATAAAATCGACAACTCAGTTGATGGAGAATTTTGACATTGAACTTAAATAATAATCTAACTATACAAGTTTTTGAGTTTACGTTTATATATCTATTGAGAAACACTTACCTCAAATCCTTTCTCCATTTCTAAAGTTGTAATCATCGATGTTTAACTGCCAAACTTTTACGATAAACTAGCGCAAGTGGAGAACATCGACTATGTTATCTGTAAGCGGTCCTAAACTGACTATTTGTTTCTGATAAGATAAATACACCTTTTAAAATGACGTGACATGTTAAGTTCAATATTGTTCCGTTGATCAGATTTTTAAATATTTCGATTTTTCAATTAATCGATGTTTTGATTTTCCCATTTCTTGATGCTCGACTGTTGCGATTTTTCAATTTTTCTATTTTTTAAGGTTTCTGTATTTCGACTTCACTTTTTTGATTTTTTGATTTCTCAATTTTTCAGTTTTTCTTCCATTTTTCAAAATTCCAGTTTTGAGATTTTCAGCTTATTTGTTATTCAACTTTTCGATTCTACAATTTTTCAATTTCACGATTTTCAATTTTACGTTTTTTTAATTTTCCTACTCTTCAATTTTACGATTTTTAAATATTATGATTTTTCAATTCCTCAATTCTTCAGTTTTTTAGGTTTTTGATTTTTCAATTTTTTAAGGTTTCGATTTTTCGACTTCACTTTTTTGAGTTTTTGATTTCTCAATTTTTCAATTTTTTTAATTCCTCAGTTTTTGAATATTTCAGTTTTGGGATTTTTCAATATTTTCGATTATTCGATTTTTCAATTTTTGAATCCTGGATTGTTCAATGTGTCGATTTTTTACTTTTTCGATTTTTAAATTTTAGATTTTTCGATTTTTCGATTTTGCATTTCAACTCTTCGAAATTTCAATTTTTAGAATTTCCCAAAATTTTGATTTCTTAATCTTTCGATTTTTAGACTTCCCGATTTTAGATTTTCTGTTTTCCAATTTTTCGTTTTATCAAATTTTCCATTTTTAAAATTCTCGATTTTTCAATGTTGTGATTTCCCGATTTATCGAGATTTGGATGTTTGTTTTTTTTTTGTTTAATTTTTCGATTTTTCGATGTTGACCTATTTCGGTTTCTCAATTTTTCCCCTTGTCGTCTTCTCGATTTCTCGATATTTCGATTTTCCAGTTTTTCAAATTTGACTTTTATAAACTCTGTTTTTCGATTTTTCAGTTTTTCTCAGTTCTTCAATTTTTCTATTTTTTAAGGTTCCTGTATTTCGATTTTATTTTTTTGATTTTTCGAGATCTCAATTTTTCAATTTTTCAGTTTTTCTTTCATCTTTCAATTATTCAAAATTTCAATTTTGAGATTTTTCAGTTTATTTGTTATTCAATTTTTCGATTCTACAATTTTTCAATTTCACTATTTTCAATTTTTCTATTTCTCAATTTTACAATGTTTCAACTTTATATTTTTTTAATTGTTCTCCTCTTCAAGTTTACGATTTTTAAATATTTTGATTTTTCAATTTTTCAAATTTGATTTTTATAAATGCTCAGTTTTTCGATTTTTCATTTCCTCTATCCTTCGCTTTTTCAGTTTTTTAGGTTTTTAATTTTTCCATTTTTTAAGGTTTTGATTTTTCGACTTCACTTTTTTGACTTTTTGATTTCTCAATTTCTCAATTTTTGTAATTCCTCAGTTCTTGGATATTTCATTTTTGGGATTTTTCAAATTTTTAATCCTGGATTTTTCGATGTGTCGATTTTTTTACTTTTTCGATTTTTAAGTTTTAGATTTTTCGATTTCTCGATTTTGCATTTCAACTCTTCGAAATTTCAATTTTTAGAATTTCCCAAAATTTTGATTTCTTAATCTTTCGATTTTTAGACTTCCCGATTTTAGATTTTCTGTTTTCCAATTTTTCGTTTTATCAAATTTTCCATTATTAAAATTCTCGATTTTTCAATGTTGTGATTTCCCGATTTACCCAGATTTGGATGTTTGAATATTTTAATTGTTCAGTTTCTCAATTTATCAGTCCTTCAACTTATAACTTTTCGATTTTTTATTTTGGCCTATTTCGGTTTCTCAGTTTTCCATTTTCTGTTTTTTCGTTTTTTATTTTTCCGCTTTTAGATTTTTCGATTTTCCAATTTTTTAACTTTCAACTTTTCGTTTTTTCCATTTTAGCCTATTTCGGTTTCTCAACTTTTCGAATTTTCGATTTCATGACTTTTCAAATTCTCCATCTTTTGATATTTCGATTTCTCAATATTTCAGTTTTTCAATTTTCCGATTTTTTAAATCCTCTCAATTTATCGAGATTTGGATGTTTGTTTTTTTTTTGTTTAACTTTTCGATTTTTTGATTTTGGCCTATTTCGGTTTCTCAATTTTCCATCTGTCGACTTCTGGATTTCTCGATATTTTGATTTTCCAGTTTTTCAAATTTGACTTTTATAAAATCTGTGTCTCGATTTTTCACTTTTTCAGTTCTTCAATTTTACTATTTTTTAAGGTTTCTGTATTTCGACTTTACTTTTTTGATTTTTCGAGATCTCAATTTTTCAGTTTTTCAGTTTTTCTTTCATCTTTCAATTTTTCAAAATTTCAATTTTGAGATTTTTCAGTTTATTTGTTATTAAATTTTTCGATTCTACAATTTTTCAATTTCACGATTTTAAATTTTTCTATTTCTCAATTTTACGTTATTTTAATTGTTCTCCTCTTCAAGTTTACGATTTTTAAATATTTTGATTTTCAATTTTTCAAATTTGACTTTTATAAACTCTCAGTTTTTCGATTTTTCATTTCCTCCATTCTTCACTTTTTTAGTTTTTTAGGTTTTTGATTTTTCAATTTTTTAAGGTTTTGATTTTTCGACTTCACTTTTTTGACTTTTTGATTTCTCAATTTTCAATTTTTGTAATTCCTCAATTCTTGGATATTTCATTTTTGGGATTTTTCAAATTTCTAATCCTGGATTTTTCGATGTGTCGATTTTTTACTTTGTCGATTTTTAAGTTTTAGATTTTTCGATTTCTCGATTTTGCATTTCAACTCTTCGAAATTCCAATTTTTCAATTTTTAGAATTTCCCAAATGTTTTGATTTCTTAATCTTTCGATTTTTAGACTTCCCGGTTTTAGATTTTCTGTTTTCCAATTTTTCGTTTTATCAAATTTTCCATTTTTAAAATTCTCGATTTTTCAATGTTGTGATTTCCCAATTTACCCAGATTTGGATGTTTGAATGTTTTGATTGTTCAGTTTCTCAATTTATCGGTCCTTCAACTTATAATTTTTCCATTTTTTTTATTTTGGCCTATTTCGGTTTCTCAGTTTTCCACTTTCTGTTTTTTCGTTTTTTTATTTTTCCGCTTTTAGATTTTTCGATTTACCAATTTTTAACTTTCAACTTTTCGTTTTTTCCATTTTAGCCTATTTCGGTTTCTCAACTTTTCGAATTTTCGATTTCATGACTTTTCAATTTCTCGTTCTTTTGATATTTCGATTTCTCAATATTTCAGTTTTTCAATTTTCCGATTTTTTAAATCCTCTCGGTTTATCGAGATTTGGGTGTTTGGTTCTCTTTGTTTAATTTTTCGATTTTTCGATGTTGACCTATTTCGGTTTCTCAATTTTTCCCCTTGTTGACTTCTCGATTTCTCGATATTTTGATTTTCCAGTTTTTCAAATTTGACTTTTATAAACTCTGTTTCTCGATTTTTCAGTTTTTCAGTTCTTCAATTTTTCTATTTTTTAAGGTTCTTGTATTTCGACTTTACTTTTTTGATTTTTCGAGATTTCAATTTTTCAGTTTTTCTTTCATCTTTCAATTTTTGAAAATTTCAATTTAGAGATTTTTCAGTTTATTTGTTATTCAATTTTTCGATTCTGCAATTTTTCAATTTCACGATTTTCAATTTTTCTATTTCTCAATTTTACAATGTTTCAATTTTACGTTTTTTTAATTGTTCTCGTCTTCAAGTTTACGATTTTTAAATATTTTAATTTATCAATTTTTCAAATTTGATTTTTATAAACTCTCAGTTTTTCGATTTTTCATTTCCTCAATCCTTCACTTTTTCAGTTTTTTAGGTTTTTGATTTTTCCATTTTTTAGGGTTTTGATTTTTCGACTTCACGTTTTTGACTTTTTGATTTCTCAATTTCTCAATTTTTGTAATTCCTCAGTTCTTGGATATTTCATTTTTGGGATTTTTCAATAGTGCCATTCTTCGATTTTTCAATTTTTGAATCCTGGATTTTTCGATGTGTCGATTTTTTTACTTTTTCGATTTTTAAATTTTAGATTTTTCGACTTCTCGATTTTGCATTTCGACTCTTCGAAATTCCAATTTTTCAATTCTTAGAATTTCCCAAATATTTTGATTTCTTAATCTTTCGATTTTTAGACTTCCCGGTTTAAAATTTTCTGTTTTCCAATTTTTCGTTTTATCAAATTTTCCATTTTTAAAATTCTCGATTTTTCAATGTTGTGATTTCCCGATTTACCCAGATTTGGATGTTTGAATGTTTTGATTGTTCAGTTTCTCAATTTATCGGTCCTTCAACTTATAATTTTACCATTTTTTTTATTTTGGCCTATTTCGGTTTCTCAGTTTTCCATTTTCTGTTTTTTCGTTTTTTTATTTTTCCGCTTTTAGATTTTTCGATTTACCAATTTTTTAACTTTCAACTTTTCGTTTTTTCCATTTTAGCCTATTTCGGTTTCTCAACTTTTCGAATTTTCGATTTCATGACTTTTCAATTTCTCGTTCTTTTGATATTTCGATTTCTCAATATTTCAGTTTTTCAATTTTCCGATTTTTTAAATCCTCTCGATTTATCGAGATTTGGATGTTTGGTTTTCTTTGTTTAGTTTTTCGATTTTTCGATGTTGACCTATTTCGGTTTCTCAATTTTTCCCCTTGTCGACTTCTCGATTTCTCGATATTTTGATTTTCCAGTTTTTCACATTTGACTTTTATAAACTCTGTTTCTCGATTTTGCAGTTTTTCAGTTCTTTATTTTTTCTATTTTTTAAGGTTTCTGTATTTCGACTTTACTTTTTTGATTTTTCGAGATCTCAATTTTTCAGTTTTTCAGTTTTTCTTTCATCTTTCAATTATTCAAAATTTCAATTTTGAGATTTTTCAGTTTATTTGTTATTCAATTTTTCGATTCTACAATTTT